ACACCCAGATGCCCTTACTGGATTCACTACCTGTTCCCAGCGCGCCATTTATACCCTTCAGGTGTCTGGATCTGCATCCACACCTATGTTTATGTCTTCGATCAAGCTACTCTAACAAAATACCATAGGCTGGGGGGCCTAAACAAATGTATTTACTCACAATTCCGGAGGCTGGAAAGTCCAAGATCAAGATGCTGGTGGGTCCTGGTGAGGTCCCTCTTCCTGGCTTGCAGATGGCTTCCTTCTTGACATGACCTCCCGTGGACGACAGAAAGAAAGCCCTGGTATCGCTGCCTCTTCTTATAAGGACACTAATCCCATCATTGAAACCTAGTTCCACCCAAAGGTCTCATGTCCAAGTACCATCACATTAGAAATTAGGGCTCCAGCATATGGATTTTGGAGGCACACAAACGTTAGGTCCATAACAGTTTACATCTGCATCTATGTCTCTATACATATGCAGATTTTTTTTTTTTTTTTGCTGAATCACTTGAAAATAATTTGCAGCTGCCATGGTACTTCATCGTTAAAAACTTAAGCATGAGTCTTCTAAGAATAAGGACTTTTTGCACATAATCTGAAAACCATTATACACTAAGATTATTAATAATTTCAAAATTTCACAATCTTGTACAACCTTCACCTCTAGTTCCAAAGCATTTTCATCAGCCCCCAAATAAACTTGTTACTTCAGGTGGCCACTCGCCATCCCTCCCACCTCCCCCACCAGCTCCTGGAAACCACAATCTGATTTCTGTCTCTATGATTGGCCTATTCTGGACATTTTATATGAATGGAACCATACAACATGTGACCTTTTGTCTCTGGCTTCTTTCACTCAGCATAATGTTTTCAAGGGTCATCCATGTTGTGTCATGGATCAGTGCTCCATTCCTTTTTATGGCTGAGTAATATTCCATTGTGTGGATAGACCTCAATTTATCTGTACATCTGTTGATGAACATTTGAGTTCTTTCCACCTTATGGTTACTGTATGAACGTGCATGTAATTTGCCATCTTTTCTGGCTCAGAGTCTGTCTGGAGGGCAATGGGGCATCATAGAGAAGAACATGGGCTCTGACCCCCAAGATTCCTGGACTCAAGACCTAGTGCCTCCTACCAGTTGGGTGAGCTCCAGTGACTGGATGTCTCTGTGCCTGATAACTTCCTTTATGGGATTATAGTGGCAACGAAGCGATTAATACATGCAAACACTTAGGTAGGCACCTAGCACAGAGTAAACATTCTGTTGCAAAATGTTGCTTTTTGTCATCAGCCACAAAGAACCTGTATTTTCAACAACAGAAACCATCCTGGGCCAACTGAAGCAGAAAAAAATATTTTGGGAGGATATCAGGTAGCTCACCAGAGGCCATGGCTAAGGAAATTGTCAGGTGCAAAGTTGGGGATGCCAATCCTGTCACCAAGAGACCCAAAATGTGTAATGGTGCCTGGAACCGGAGTTCCTTTCTTGCTTATACAGCGGTACTGGCAGCAGAATCGTTTGGCAAGGCAGCCCTCCTTCCCCATGCAGTCCATCTGGCTGATGCAGCCCTGCCTTCTTCAGCACATGCATTTCCAGGTCATCCTGGGTCATGTCCACTCCAGCCAGAGAAACATGTAAAGACGCTGAAGGAGCATAGCCCAGGTTTACAGACCATGACTGGAGGTGGTGCTTGATTCACTTCAGCTCGATTAGCCTTGCCAGGACTCAACACCCTGGCCACACCTATCTGCAAGAGGCACCGGGAAGTCCCTGGCTGGGTGGACACCTTGCAGCATGTAGTCTATACCAGGTTGCAGTGAGCACAAGGCACCGGTGGACTCCCGAGGTCAGAGGGCTGCCAGCACCGTGGTACCATCCCCACAGCTGCCCTGGCCCTGCCATCCCTGCTCCTGCATGACTCCTAGGCACTCCTTGCATCACTGAAGACTTGCTCAAGATTCCAGGTTCCCAGAAGGGAGCAAGATGACCAAGCCTGGCCCACAAGCCTGAGAGCTGGTTGCCAGGGAGGGAGAGCAGCAGGGTCTTTTTGGTGGCTGTAGAGAGAGGTGAGGTTCTCCTGGAAGACAGTCTTGTGCCAAGTCACCATTCTTTCCATCTTCTCCACCATGGATGTTTGACTCCCCTGCAGTGAAGGGCGGCCACATGACACGTAGGGAAATCTACTCCATGGGGTTTTCCTGAAATCCAGTGGCTTCATAAGAAGGGACAGATCAGATGCACATGCTTTTTGACCACACCTGCCCTTGTTTCCTGCCAAGGAGGAGCATATGATGCCCAGAGGGACAGCAGGCATCTTTGAGGCAAGGGGCTTAAGGCACCTCACTAAGGAAGGTAAGGCTGAAAGAGGAGCAGCCAGGGTCCCTGGTGTCATCGTGTGGCCACCATGGCAGGCCTGGCTGCTGGCTGCGAGCCGTGTGGTTGTAGAAGAAGGGTAATCCCCCTGTGGGAAGCCATAGGATGCTCCTTTCCGGTATGTGCTGCTGTTCCTGGCTGGCAGCAGCGGGTTCCCCAGCCCAAGAGAGGGGTTTCGATTTTGGAAAATTGGACTCCCCACAAATACAAGCACTCGTTCCTGAGGTCACTGCTGTTTGGCGGGGACCCACTTAGGCTTGGCAGGGAGTCTCTGCCATCAGCCTGCCAGTTTCATCAGGTGACACTCCACAACTCTGGTGGTGTGTTTTGCTTGTTTAAATGGCTTTGTTGAGGTATAATCTGCATGCCATAAAATTCCTGTTTTAGGTGGACAATTTATTTTTAGCAAATGTCCATAGTTGTGTAACCATTACCACAATCCAATTTTAGAACATTTCCATCACTCTAAGAACTCCCTCATGCCCACAAGCAGTCCCTCCCCATCCCTGTCAACCACTGATCTACTTTCTGTCTCTACAGATTTCCCTGTTCTGAACCTTTCATATAAAAGGCATCATATACTCTGTGGCCTTTTATGTCTGGCTTCTTTCATTCAGCATAATGTTTTCAAGGTTCACCCATGTTGTAGCCCACACCAGTGCCTCATTCCTTTTTATATATTAATAACACTCCACATATAATTGTATCAGATTCTGTTTATCCAGTCACCAATTAATGGACATGTGGGTTGTTTCCACTTTGGGGCTACTGTGAATGTTTATGCACAAGTGTGTGATTGTATTTATTTCTCTAGGGTACGTACCTAAGACTGAGGTTGTTGAATCATATGGTAAATTTATGTGTAACTATTTAAGAAACTTCCAAACTTCTCTCCAAAGTGAGGTGCATCACTACATCTACACCGGTGGGATATGAGAATTCCTTTCATAAGTGGAACTGTTTGTTGTTTTGATTGTAGTTATTCTACTGGGTGTGAAATGGCATCTCACTGTGGTCTTGATTTGTATTTTTCTAAGACTAACGTGCTGAGCATCTTTTCATGTGCTTATTGGTTATTTGAATATCTCCTTTGGTGAAAAGTCTCTTCCATCCATTTGACCATTTTGAGTTACTGATCTTCCTATTGTTCAGTTTTAAGAGCTCTTTATATGTGCTGGATACAAGTCCTTTATCAATTTAAGACTAAGTTTCTCTTTTGAACCTTTACGTTTAAGGGACTGTTTAGATTTTGGAGGTAATAGAGAATTTGATTTTTTTTTAATTGTGATAAAAATCATCGAATAAAATTGTATCCTAAAAATGTAAAAGATACCTTTAACCACTCAACAGATTTTGTTTTGTAAAGAAAGGAATGTGCTGTCATTGTGTCTTTGCCTCCTTAGCCAGCATTTAGGATGTCTGGCCAAGTGCTCCCTTCTTATGCTGCAGACATCCTAAATGCTGGCAAGAGGTATAATTATTTTTAATTACAAAGGTTACCAATAAATGGTTAACAAATAAAATAAGAATCACTTGTAAAAATTGAGAGGAGGAAGGAATGGATATAGAATATGTAATAAAGTCACACAATGGGAGGGTGGCAGTAGAAAATGAAACCATAATGTATCTAAAAATTCAATTTAGTAGATCAAGTAATAAAGATGCAAGCTTGTTATTTGGTCTCATAGGGTTGAAATGGAAGAAATAAATGCAGAAAAGGTAAAAACTAGCTAATCTTTGAGGAGTAGGACTAAAAGCTGGAGGTGGGAAGGTGGACTTCTTTTTCAATGAACCCCCTTCTACGTAGTCTAAATAATTCCCCCCATGGCATATGTAATTCTTTTAACCAAAAGGCAGAAAAGGTAATTAGGTTAGTCTGGTTGCTGTGAAGAATGGTTGGAATGGGTTAAGTATGAAGTGTTTGAAATTCATCTCAATGGGTGTAAGGTGCTTTATTTTCCCCTTAAGTTCATATTATCTGTGGATGAATTTTATTAATGGAGTGAGGTCACAGCATCAACTTTATGCTTCTGTTGCATTTATAAACCATGACAATGCTGATAATCCTTGTTCAGGTGAATTAAGTGACCAGGTAAAGGGGTTGTCATTAGAGCTGCGTGGCTGAAGCCCTGTGCTCCTTCCAAGCCCCACGCCCTAAAGCGAACACCGTTGGGCAGCTCAGAAGCCGTCAGCGCCACCTTCAGCCGGAGAGGGAGGGCGCCTGGCTGGCCCTGGGGTGGGTTATGCGAGGAGCTGAGGGAGCAAGCCTCCCACCGGCCCTGGACTCGTGAGCCCCACAGAGGTGCAACCTCCTCCACTCAGGACCTCCCCTCCAGGGCAGCATTTCTCATCCCTGCCTGCTCACCAGAATCTTCTGGACGTTTTCAAAAGATGCCCTCTGGACCACACCAGGCCAGATCACTCACTAACTTGGCACGGCATTCGTGTATGAGGTTCTGCGCAGGTTTTCTTTAAGGCGTTCACTCCCTAACGCTGGCAGTTCTGGCTGCTGCGTCCCCATTGCTCTGTCCAGGACACTGAGGCGTCCAGAGGCAGGGCTTGCAGGGGGCTGCCCAGCAAGAGATCCTTTACTCCTCTTCCCCCACAGTGTACCACTGGGTGGAGGTGCGGGCCAAGATGCACATCATGGGCTTCAATGCGGCATCCATCAAGCCCCTGAATGAGGAGGCAGCTGCCGAGCTGGGCGCAGAGCTGCTGGGTGAGGCCACCATCTTCGTGGTTGCCTGCAGCTACCTTGTGATGGAGTACCGGCGCCACCAGGCGCACCAGCATCGCAAGGAGTGGGAGCGGCTCGCCTCCTGGGACACTATGCGGGATGAGGTGGACCACCTGGCGCTGGCGCTCAAGGCCCTGCAGGCGCAGGTGCAGGCGGCGCTGCCGCCGAGCGCCCTGGAGGAGCTGCACGCGCAGATGCAGGAGGTGCGTACCCAGCTGTGCCAGGGACCAGCCGTCTGCGCCCCAAACTGAGCCCACGCTGGTGGAGTATGAGGCCTCAGGGTCCTGGTCTTCTCTCCGACACGGTACTCTGTCCGCACTGTCCTTTCCTGAACTGACCCAGCTAATACCACCGGGTCCCTTTTACGGGCAAAAGGGATCCCAGACTCAGGCTGGTCCAGCCAGGCTTCCGGTCGCCTCCCTACTAACCTGCCAGTGGTACCGTCCGCTGTGCTCTCCCTCCCACTGGTGGAACGTTCCGACAGGGACGTCCCTCCCCCAGCCCACTGGTTTAGGACTTTGGAATGGAACAGCGGTGTCTTCCATCCTACCCCCACGTGGACCCAGCCAACTCTGTCACTCACACCTTCACTTCCCTGAAGAGTGGGCCTCCCCTCCCCACCCCATTACCCAGAACACCCCTGCCCTGCCCTTCTTCATGGGTAAAGACCGTTATGACAACGCAGGAACTTCAGTGCATTCCTGACACCAGCACCTTCCATCTACCTCACTCTTTTTAGGCGCAGGGAAGAGGATGGGTCTTGGGATACGCCAGCTGCAGGGTCACCCCTTTGCTCCCACCGTTAGTCTCCTCTCCGCAAGTGGATGGTTCCCCCCCATACACACACCCTTAACCTATGGCATAAGCCACTGGGAACTCCGTGCAGTCTTCCTAGACCGTCCCACCAGATCTCCCCCTGCCCTTCCTGTGGTCTATTCTAGCATGATGTGGCCTTTTGGGGTGGAAAAATTGGTCCTGCCCTGGGCTGAACCTTCTGCTCTGGTCAAACCCCATTTACCTGTCTCAGGGTTCTTGGCCTACTGCTCTCCCTTCCCACCATCCTCTTCTGCTGGCCTCTCATAGGGACCCACCTGCTCCCCTACTAAATGGGTCACTGTCACATCCTCCATCTTTCATCCAAACCTGCTCTCCAGAGTACTCAGGGATATAACCTCTACCTTGCATTTTGGCTTTTGTTACCCAGTCCCTCTGGCCCTCCTTCATGAAAAGACTTCTTCCAGTGGGACCACCTGCCCCTCATCCCAGAGGTTCCCCACCCCATCCAAA